ATGGGTTTTCTCTGAGTAAAGCCCAAGATGCAGAACACACACGGAGAGACAGGTAAAAGTCCAAAGAATTTATTAAAGGAGCACAAGCACATGAATATGAAACCGGGACAGTTCAGGCAGGAGGTTGGTTCACTGGGGTCTGTGCAGGGAACGGGGGATGGCTGGATTACTGAGATAATGGGGTGCTTAGCCTCTAGCTGTAAGCTAGCTAGGACGGCTTGGATCTGAGCTACCAGCTCAACGCAGAGAACAACAGGGGATAATCCACATGGTAACCTCTGGGGAACTCCTCAAAGAAGTCCTCAGGTTTCTTCCACGTAGGGATCTGCGGGTTGGCTCACCAGGGCAGATTGCAGGTTGGGCTTTCCAAGAGCTTCTGGCTTGAGACTGGTTTCCTATGACGCAGCTCTCCCAGAGCTGCAGACCAGAGACAGGGTTCCAATGAGGGAGCTTCACAAGGAGACAGGAGGCTAAGCTCATCCAGAGCTTTCACGAGGATACAGGAGGTTAAGCTCATCCAGAGCTTTCACGAGGGACAGGATTCCTGTGAGGCAGAGATAAAGAAGATATTAGAATCTGGTCCCGACCTAGGAACAACCAAGACTCTATAGCAGAAGGTTCAGGAAGCTAACCAACTAAGATCAACACTGCGGCGTGGGATCAAGATCAGGCAGGAGCCTATAAAGGAGAGGTCTTCTAATGAGAGGATCAGGAAAAGGTGTGCAGGAAGGTTCAGGGTCCAGAAGACCCACAGCGCATCCTGCTGGAGACAGAGGGTAATCTCCAGATCCCCACAGTAACTCCAAACCTAAGGGAAAAACAAAGAGCAGAAGAGGATCCTCGGCGCCCTCTGGTGGGCAAGCCTGAGGATCCCAACAGAGCCTACCCCTCAAGGGCGGATTCCAGACGCCCCCTGTTAAAAAAAAAAGGTCCAAAAAACAACAAAAAACAACCCACTCAGGGTGTGCGGAGGGGGCACTAGGGTGAGGAGGGCCAGTGACAACAGAAAATAGAGTCCAGAAAACAAAAACAACCCACCCAGGGCGGGCGGAGGGGGCACTAGGGCGAGGAGGGCCAGAACCAACAGAAAAAAAGGTCCAACAAACAAAAAACAACCCACCCAGGGTGGGCGAAGGGGGAAACAGGCCAGGAGGACAGAAAACAAAAACAGAGTCCAGAACAAAAAACGATCCACTTATGGTGGACGACAGCAAAGGAAAACCCAAAAACTTTCTTGGGCACAGTCTCTGGTGGCCGGCCGAGGGACCGGCAGTGGGACAGATTCTCAGGTGACCGGCCGAGGGACCGGCAGCGGGACACAGTCTTAGGTGGCCGGCCGAAGTTCCGGCAGCGGGACACAGTCTCAGGTGGCCTGCCGTGGGGCCGGCTGCAGGACACAGTCTCAGGTGGCCTGCCGTGGGGCCGGCTGCAGGACACAGTCTCAGGTGGCCTGCCGTGGGGCCGGCTGCAGGACACAGTCTCAGGTGGCCTGTCGTGGGGCCGGCTGCAGGACACAGTCTCAGGTGGCCTGCCGTGGGGCCGGCTGCAGGACACAGTCTCAGGTGGCCTGCCGTGGGGCCGGCTGCAGGACACAGTCTCAGGTGGCCTGCCGTGGGGCCGGCTGCAGGACACAGTCTCAGGTGGCCTGTCGTGGGGCCGGCTGCAGGACACAGTCTCAGGTGGCCTGCCGTGGGGCCGGCTGCAGGACACAGTCTCAGGTGGCCTGCCGTGGGGCCGGAGGCAAAGCAGCTTATCAGGAGGATGACGCCCAAGCTTCAGCAGGTACCCCCACGGGGTACCCCGTCCCCTCCTCGGCAGCTCAGGAACAGTTTCAGAAACAGCCGCCGACTGCGGCTCTGAAGGAGGCTCAGAGGAGACCGCCGACTGCGGCTCTGGAGGAGGCTCAGAGGAAGCCGCCGGCTGCGGCTCAGGAGGAGGCTCTGAGGAAGCCGCCGGCTGCGGCTCTGGAGGAGGCTCTGAGGAATCCGCCGGCTGCGGCTCTGGAGGAGGCTTTGAAGAGGCTGCCGACTGCGGTTCAGGAGCAGGGGAGCCCGCCGATTGCGGCTCCCAATCAGGAACAGGGGAGCCCGCTGACTGCGGCTCCCGATCAGGAACAGGGGAGCCCGCCGACTGCGGCTCCCGATCAGGAACAGGGGAGCCCGCCGACTGCGGCTCCCGATCAGGAACAGGGGAGCCCGCCGACTGCGGCTCTGGAGGAGGTTCTGAGGAAGCCGCCGGCTGCGGCTCAGGAGGAGGCTCTGAGGAAGCCGCCGGCTGTGGCTCTGGAGGAGGCTCTGAGGAAGCCGCCGGCTGCGGCTCTGGAGGAGGCTCTGAAGAGGCCGCCGACTGCGGTTCAGGAGCAGGGGAGCCCGCCGATTGCGGCTCCCAATCAGGAACAGGGGAGCCCGCCGACTGCGGCTCCCAATCAGGAACAGGGGAGCCTGCCGACTGCGGCTCCCGATCAGGAACAGGGGAGCCCGCCGACTGCGGCTCCCGATCAGGAACAGGGGAGCCCGCCGACTGCGGCTCCCGGTCTGGAACAGGGGAGCCCGCCGATTGCGGCTCCGGTTCTGGAACATGCGGGATCACCGACTGTGGCTCCACCTCAGGGACATGCGAACCCACCGACTGTGGATCCGCCTCAGGAACATGCGAACCCACCAACTGTGGATCCGCCTCAGGAACATGCGAACCCACCGACTGTGGATCCGCCTCAGGAACATGCGAACCCACCGACTGTGGATCCGCCTCAGGAACAGGGGAGGCCATCGACTGCAGTTCCCCCTCAGGGACAGGAGAAAACACCCATGGGGGCTCATGTTCGGTCTCTGAGGTGGCTTGAAGGGCCAGCAGGGAGTTCTTGGAGGCCTGAGGTTTCTGCAGATAGACTCTCGGAAGAATCAAATCACACACCCCACATTCTGACACCTCTTCTAAAGTCTGCTCAGGGGTCTCTGGACGGCACAGAACTGACTCAGGGGTCTCTAGACGACTAAAAACTGACTTGGGGGTTTCTAGATGGCTCAGAGCTGGCTTAAAGCGACGCCGTTTCTTACGTCGGGAATTAATGGAAACAGGGCCAATAGATGCGGAGACTGACTGAGACAAAAGGTAAGCAGGTGTGCTAGTGGATTCAGACGCTAAACTAGTTGGTTGGTTGGGAGATGAACGAGGTGACAAGAAGGGGAAGAGATCATCTCTATCCCCATAGAAAAAATTCCAGAGATCGGATTCTTGGATTTCAGGTGCTCTGACTGTTCGGGTATGGAGCTGTGGTATAATCTTGAGTTTCTTAGTGGATGGTACTAACTGATGGTCATGTAGGTGATGGCTGAACTGGATAGTACTGTACGGAAGTTGACTGAACAGGGCTGTACAGAGCTGTATTGGGCTAGGCTGAGCTGGACTGGGCAGGAGTGGGCTGAGCTGGACTGAACTGGGTTGGACTGGGGTCCAGGATCTAGATCTGGCTTTGATTCGTGATTTGTTATCCAGGTAGTCTGCTAGAAATATAAGCTCATCTAGAGTCTTTGGTTCCTCGATCTTAGCCAGCTCATTCTTAATGTCATCATTTAGGGCGTGAAAGAAAATGTTTTTAAGCATAGAATCGGTCAAACCAGAAGAAGCGGCTCTGACCCGGAAGTCGACAGAAAAATCCTCTACAGAGCTATTTCCCTGTTTCAAATTAGATAGACACTGAGATTTGGCAGATTTAGAAAAGGCTAAGGATAGTTGTCTCACAAAATGATCATAAGTACTATTCTCTGAGGGAGAATTGGTCTTCCCCCACCTGCGGGCTTTTCCAGATAAACGGGACAGAATAAAGTCTATTTTTTCTTTGTCATTAGGAAAACTGAAAGAGGAGAGTTCAAAAAATATTTTGCACTGAAATAGGAAACCGTTTAATCTACTTGGAACGCCAGAAAACCTTTCAGGAAGTGACGGGCGGAAAACCGGAAATGACGGGACTGGTTCTGACCTTGGGGGCGGGTTTGGCTCCGGAACCGGAAGTTGAGCAGGCGCCATCTTATGATTCCCTCGAAGTCCGTAGAATCCAGAAACGTAGTTTTAACAATCAAAACTAGAGTTTAACTCATGGAGGGTTGTGTCTGTCCTTGGATCTAAGCGTCCCGTTCCTTAATCCACCGACGGAGGGGTTCTGCTGGGCGTGTGTTTAGGCCGCAGTGTTCTGTCATGATGGGTTTTCTCTGAGTAAAGCCCAAGATGCAGAACACACACGGAGAGACAGGTAAAAGTCCAAAGAGTTTATTAAAGGAGCACAAGCACATGAATATGAAACCGGGACAGTTCAGGCAGGAGGTTGGTTCACTGGGGTCTGTGCAGGGAACGGGGGATGGCTGGATTACTGAGATAATGGGGTGCTTAGCCTCTAGCTGTAAGCTAGCTAGGACGGCTTGGATCTGAGCTACCAGCTCAACGCAGAGAACAACAGGGGATAATCCACATGGTAACCTCTGGGGAACTCCTCAAAGAAGTCCTCAGGTTTCTTCCACGTAGGGATCTGCGGGTTGGCTCACCAGGGCAGATTGCAGGTTGGGCTTTCCAAGAGCTTCTGGCTTGAGACTGGTTTCCTATGACGCAGCTCTCCCAGAGCTGCAGACCAGAGACAGGGTTCCAATGAGGGAGCTTCACAAGGAGACAGGAGGCTAAGCTCATCCAGAGCTTTCACGAGGATACAGGAGGTTAAGCTCATCCAGAGCTTTCACGAGGGACAGGATTCCTGTGAGGCAGAGGTAAAGAAGATATTAGAATGTGGTCCCGACCTAGGAACAACCAAGACTCTATAGCAGAAGGTTCAGGAAGCTAACCAACTAAGATCAACACTGCGGCGTGGGATCAAGGTCAGGCAGGAGCTTATAAAGGAGAGGTCTTCTAATGAGAGGATTAGGAACAGGTGTGCAGGAAGGTTCCAGCTCCAGAAGACCCACAGCGGATCCTGCTGGAGACAGAGGGTAATCTCCAGATCCCCACAGTAACTCCAAACCTAAGGGAAAAACAAAGAGCAGAAGAGGATCCTCGGCGCCCTCTGGTGGGCAAGCCTGAGGATCCTAACATACGTAAGTCTACAAGTATAGAAAAATACAGAAATGTAAATATAACGTAGCGACACTAGATAGAGATTCAAATTTTAGTTCTAATAGATTGCTCAACAACGCCACCCTGGGAATTTCACCCAGAGAATATTACCCTTTTGTCTAAGGCACACAGATTCTGATATGCCACGCCACCGCGGAAGGCGGAATGGGCTCGCCGATGCCACACCCCAAACACGGCTTCACTGAGGGCAGATAACGCCGCTGTAGTCCAACTTTAAAACAATTGTGCAGAAATCCGGGAAACGAACACCGACAGAGCAGCAATGGTCCAACTATGGGGGACCTGTGAAAATTAGTCACCATTTTGAATGAAACTGAAATAAACTGGAGCTTAGATGAGCGTTAATTTCTTACCTGCTGATCCACAAACATGCGCACACACTCACTCGCAGACCGAGGAAGAGAGGTAGCGCAGCGCTGAGGCGTTTTACCTATGATCACATTTCAATTAAGATTTTCTGGCCAAGATCAGCTAAAGTGCAGGGAGAGAAAACACCTACCACCAGATCATCAGCGCAACATGCACCAGCCAGCGGTTTGTTGCTTTCCGCTGCCAGAGTCCACCGGACTCAAGTCTCACAGTGGGAGAACAACGACGACACATGCCTGACTGTGCGCCTCAGCTCCCTAATGTACACAACGCCCACCTTAAGAACCGGAACTTCTCACCTGGAAACTATTTGTGAAATTCTGTATATTTCTATAACACTACAATAAGGAGAGACGCACAATGTTTTCTTCAAAAAGAAATGAATGATGAGAAAGAGACTTTAGTTAAGTATCCTTGAGTTAATGGGCTGATATTAATGAGGCTTCATAGGTATGTTTCCCTGACATGTACAGTATGTACACCTGGTCTGTAGACTTGAACACCTCCACACCTTCCCCCAAAGCTAGATGAACATTTATGAAGCTACATTGGAGTCATAACGTTTGTTAAAAACCATTTTATTTTACTTTTAAAAAAATTGAAACTGAAGGATTAAAAAACTGAAATTAAAAAATAAAAACTACAAATATATGTAAGAGAAAATGAAAAAAGAGATTTTAATCTCCAAAAATTCCATCCATTTTCTTTGGCTTATCCATCAGGCTCTCAGTGGGGATGGTGCCTACCTCCAGCAGTCTATGGGGGAAAGATGGGCTACACCCTGAACCATTCAACTAAAATATGTCATCTGTAGAGTAGTTTAAACAAGCTTTGATGACAAAGTGGAGGTCCAAGCCTTTCTAGACGACAGTGCAGCATTGCCTGGTCCTTTATAACCTGTGATGTGATGTCAGAGCTGCAGTGAATGCTGGGAAATGTAGTTCTATTCTGGTTATATGCAGCGTGATCAACACATGGATGGTTAAAGTGAAGTGTCCTTTCTTTAACCTGCAATTCCAAGTCTTTCTCCTGTGTTTATTTTTCCAGACTGCCTGCATGATTATGTTGGAAAAGAAGAGGTTTCCTCTGATGAGCAGTTCTCTGAACAGGAGAGGAATTTTGTCAGGATCCCATATTTTTTGTGTTCGTCTGTTTGTCTTGTCTTTTGTGTTTCTCCCTTCCACCACCAGGAGGCGCCTGGCTCCTATTCGCCTCCTCACACACCTGCAAGCTGTTGCCTCATCACCGGACTGATCTTAAGCTGCTGGTTGCCACTACTTCGACGCCAGAGTGTTTGCCAGTTTGGGGTACTCTAGCCAAGCCTGGTTTATGCTGAGTCTAATCTGAGTTTTACTGAGCGCTTGTTTCTCAGTGAGTCTCAACTTTGTTTGTTCTTTGCCTTTCGGCAGGAAGCCTTCCTGCTAACAGGACCTTTTCGGACCGCCTTCTCCCAAGTAGGATCAACTGAGTCTTACACTGAGCGACGGATTCCAAGCAGGAGGTTTGGATCCAGCCACCTTTGAGCACGCTGAGATCACTCTCTGAGTAAGGAAGTCATCTCCACCACGACCCGTTCAAGTACCACAGGAAATCTGAGTTGCAACCAGCGGCTGCATCATTCCACTCTGGGTCAGTCCAGGGTAAACTCTGTTCCGCCCTCCACCGAATCAAACAAATTCTGGAAGACAAACACACAGACTGGAATCTACGTGTCTCTTCTTCCCTGGAAACGTGAGTGGCAACAAATCCTCTCCTTCAAGATTAACAACTCCAATTCCCCACTGAGCCTGAATCTAACAGTCTGTCTTCCCCTCGTCTTCCAGTTTCCAGGAAGAGCAGAGTTCGGAGGAACTCTGCACCAAACTCAAAATACTCTTCCATAAAACCCGTAGAAACCTTTACTCTGTGTCTTTCTGTTTGGCTTTACTGCATGTGGGTCTGAGCTTTAGATAAAATCATGACAAATTCCAGTTTAACCCCCAAACTGCTCCCTGGGCGCCAAACAATGGCAGCCCACTACCCCCCAAGGGGATGGATTAAATGCAGAGAGTTAATTTTGTTGCTCTGTACTTCTGACAGTGTAATGACAATAAAACACTTGAAAAATTAACAATATGAAACATAAAAATGCATTTACAACCCAACAACAACTTCTTACTAAGTAGTTTCCAGCCCTGACATGTTATTAACATGTTATTATGAGGTCCAACAATGATATGGCCACACTCACCTATCATATTTGGTGTCTTCATCCAAAGTTGCAGTGACATCTTTGGCTAAGATGAGGTTGACCGTCCTCTTCACTGACAGCAGGTTCGTTTAATTTCAAATGCTGCATCCTCCATGGATCGGTCACCAGCTTCTGCTCTCCGGACATAAAGCTGTTAACTGCAGACCTTTGTATCTGCCTAGAGAGTTCACTGTTGTTAGCATCACTGCTCTGTATGTGCCTCTCAGTGCTAACACAATTTTTTTCACGTGGGAGGGGTGTCAGCTTCGAACAGCTGTGCAGTTCTTCATGAATACTTGCATGAATTATGAGCGTGTGGGCAGATTTTTAATAGGGCTAAAGTGGTATCTAGTTCATATCCACAATTATTTTAGGATAGTTTAAATGTCAGATGAAGAGGCCATGAGTGTTCAGACTATCTCTGAACTTCAATCTGCACACTGAGGGTGTTTTCCTCATTGCTGGGGATTTTAAACAGGCCAATTTGAAGCCTGTTCTTCATTTTTACCAACATGTGGACTTTGCAACTTGGGGACAGAACCCTTTAGACCTGGTTTACTCTAACATCAAAGATGCATTTAGAGCAGCCCTGCACCCCCACCCCCCACCTCAGCTCTTCAGACCACCTATCTGTCATGCTGATCAGCGAGGTACGTTTAATATAATGTCTTAGCGTCAATTTAGGAAGGAATTCCATTTCAATATTCATAGAATAGTTCTTCACTTATTGACAAATTAAGGTGTACTATTTTCTCTATTCAAGGAATTTATTTAGTATAGTGAGTTAAAATCAAGATTATCAAACTTTGATTCTTCCTTGAAATCAGGCTTTTTGTCCTATGCACTATCTGTACTTACATTGTTTTTACATCTATAAATAATATCCGCCATAAAAAAATATGATAAAAATATTTTAGTTTAAATAACTTATTGAGTTACATCAATCACAGCATGGTGACATGACAGATAGTTTTAAATCTAATCAAACTTAGTGCAGATCATCCAAAGTTTCCTTTTATTGCCAAAGCCTGTTTAGAATTAGCAGATGTTTATGAGGACAAACATGTGGAATGAAACGTTCATAGTGTTAGGTTTATTCTTTATACATCATGTGCATTGTTATTCTGTTAGCCAGATTAGACAGAGTAGAAGGCCTTCCCTAACATTGTGGATGTCACTGTGTGTACGGAGGTCATCTAATCAGGACAGCCTTCGTGTCTTTAAAAATATACAGGATATGGGCACATCTTGGAGCCGGACTGATAAAGGGGAGCTATCTGTAATTCTTGGGCATAGAAGCAAGACGCATACAGGTCAGGGCATTGATGGCGTGTCAGTTTCTGATACGGACAGCAAAGCATTCACCTGATGCAACACATAGGCTCATAAGGTATAAGAAGGAGGAGATGACTTTATTCGGGGCTCAATCTTATTTTTATTTTGTTTTTCATTGTGTGCGATACAGGTACACTTGCACCTTAATCCTTATTTACCTTGATATACTGCATATCCCTGGATATACTGTATATATATATTGTTTATTGTCTATTTTTAATGCACCTTTTCCTCCTTGTTTGCACCTTCTTTGACTTGTATACCAATATGAGACAAGTGAATTTCTCCGCTGTGAGATCAATAAAGCTCATCTAATCTAATCTAATTTTTGCCGGACGCTCGCTGACGTTTTTTGAGCCCACAGCTGAGCCAACTCCAAGCAATCTCTCAGTCCTTTAACCACCTGAACTGGAATAAACTCTGTTACTTTTGTACTCCTGTTTTATAGTCCTTTTTTTATGATTTTACCCAGTTTGAGTTAAGAGTAGTAGATAACTTGTTCCCAGGAAAAGAACCGAAAGGGAAGTTCTGAGGCGCAGCCGCTTTCAGAGGGACCTAACTTCATTATATAACAATAGGGAGCAGAGGAAGGTAAATAAGACTCACATCTGCTGTAACCTTGGTCATACAAACATAACTGTTTTACTGCTGTGAATAGTGTTTGATTTAAAAAAGAAACAACACAGACAGGCTGGGCTCCCGCTGGAAACAAGCCCCTCCTCGGGACGCTCCCGATCTGAGCCGATCACTTTTTAGCAAAACATGGACTGTGGATCCATCAGCAGCAGAAATGGCAGCAGGTAGACTAAGCTTACAATGGGTAGAGGGGGTTAGACCAGATAGGATGGTGGTCTGTAGAGATTCCAAAGCAGTTTTACAAAGTATTCAGGGAGAAGGAAATGATAGAATAGATTTAGAATCAGAAATCCAGCACAGTCTATTTAGATTATATAGGGGTGGCACTGATATTTGGTCATGTTGGGTTTCAGCACATGAAGGTAAATCACTTATTAAGATTAAAGAAATGGGAAAATGGCAAAAGAGGTGGAATAAAGAGAAGAAAGGAAGAGGATTATATAAGGTTAAAAAATCAGTATTAAATAGAATCATTAATGAGAGAAACAGAAGGGAAGAAGTAATAATGATCAGATTAAGAGTGGCTCAGACCTGTTTAAATGACAATTTATATTTAATAGGGAGGAAAAATAGTGATAAATGTGAAGAAAGTGGAGAAAAAGAAAATGTAGAACATTTACTGATGAATTTTAAAAACTTATGAACATGAAAGGGAGAAACTGAGAAGAATAATTGGAAGAACAGACAAAGAATGGAGTCTGAAAGGAATGTTGGGAAATGAAGGAAAAATAAATGATCATTACTGATTAAAGAAAGCATTATTTATTTATCTATAGAATACAAAACAAAAAAAAATAGAATTTGTAATGTTGCTACACACTCAGTAGGTGGCGGTATGCACCTTAAAGTTGCTTGCGATCCGCCATGATAGAACAGATGAAGAAGAAGATTGTGGGTCCTTTATTATGGATATCTATGCCCGCAGCAGCAGCGTTAGCTTCCTCCCTCCGTGGAGTGTTTGTAGAGAGGCTGATGATGTGTGAGTGTTTGCAGGGAGAATGTGTTCAGTCCAGCTTCAAGGAGAGTTTATCAGCGAGCAGTTAACTCCTGCTGAAGAAACATTGACGGAGGTTAAAGGAAGAGAGAAAAGGCCCAAAGTGGAGATGGACGATCAGCACAGACTGCTGGATTTCACCAGGATCCCCCAGATCATCTTACAGCGGATAGGTAGGAAACACCTGATAGAAACGATTCCCTCAGGATGCAGACTGAGGGTTGGAGCCTCAGCTGATTGGAAAACTCATTAGAGGAGATCAACATGCTAAGCTAAAGCTAGCTTCTGCTTCAGCTAAAGGGCTGTTCCACCTCTTTTCTCTCCACTTTAACTGTCTTTATTCTGCTCTACTCTAAAAACTTCAGCACTCAGACACTTCAGACCTGGATTAGATAATCCAAGCTAACAGCAGAATCTTTAAAGCTCCTTTGGGATTTGAGAAAGCTTTATCTGTTTAGTGAAACAAAGAGCCCTAGGAAGGCTTTTTTAGCATGTGGGCCTCATTATAGTTGGTGTTCTAGGTCAACTGGTGGTGGCAGCTGGATTATGCACTATGTAGTTTACAACTAGTTAAGGAACTGGAAAAGCTTTAAACTGACCTTGAAAGTCCTTAAAAAATATTTCAGTTGGATCATGAATAAGGTGTATGAACCCAAATGGCAGCCAGTAATCAATAAATCATGTGCTGTCACTGTTAAGAAAAAAAAAACATAAACTCCATGGAACTGTAAGATTAACTAGAAAAAGCTGTTTTGGAGAAACATCAAAGTGGGAATGTTTTTTTTGCTGAATGAAAAAGAAAAATTAGCTAAAGAAACTGCAAGAAAGAAAAGAAGCACAAATTAGCTGAGGGACATTTGAAAATGTGATAGGAAGTATCCAGAAACTTCAAACAACAGAAAAAAGTAGAATCATCTGAAGATTTTGTAGGGTAGAATCATTTGGCAGAATAATGGCAGAAACACCCTCATCTTAAAAGCAAAACATTTAGTTAAATTGATTAACCAGAAGAAAAAGTCTAAAAGTATCTGTTTACCTTGAAGTTGACAGAAGCAATGCATCTGCTTACGAGGTCAGCAGATGCATTATTAAAGTAGAAATTTTAGAGCTTCATTAAGAAATGTGCACTTAGGTGTGATGTCAACAGGCCTTGGTAGTGTAATCTGAAGAAATTGGTTGAGTTCGGATCATACCTATGACCCATACGGCACAAAGAAAGGGTGTGCAAAGGTAAACTGTTTTATTTTGTAGAGTCCCTGTAGTCCAGTGGTCTCCAACCCTGGTCCTCAAGATCTACTGTCCTACAGATTTTAGATGCATCCCTGCTTCAACACAGCTGAATCAAATGAATGGCTTGAAAAGGTAATCTTTTGATACCATTAGTGGTGTGAAACATTCTGTAGTTGTGCTCTGTGTTAACACAAGGTTGTTGGTTCACATTTAATGTAATGGTTCACATTTAATGCCCGAACTCCGGCCATCTCAGGGACTAAGTTTATTAACTGTATCCTGTGGCTGTGGACTTTGCAAACATTGATCTGTTTTTTAGTATAACCTTGAAGCTCCCTTTAACATGGACCATATAAAATCATCTCAAACTGCCTTTTATGTCAGGATACTTCATCCTCTGACCACTTGAGGACTCAAGTCAGGCTAAAGCTAAGACTCATGCCACCGTTTGTGGCAGTTATTTTAACTTTTCAATTACAACAACACATTTGTTAAGGAAGAGTGGCGGCCTAGTGGTTAGGACATAGGGCTTGTGAGTTCGAAACCCACTCCCACAGACTGCCACTCTGGATCTCTGAGCAAGACCCTTAACCCCCCGATTACCAGGTGTTTTCAGGTATGGGAACACCTAAAACACACTGGACATTATGTCCCCAGAACCAAAGTTAAAGACCAGGTTAAGTCTTTGCCTTCAATGCAATAAACGTAGTGGTGTGTGACCCCTTCATCTTGTCCAATTTGTCTGGTTTTATGCTGACGGCTCTGCAGGAGGAGAGATCACAGCTTTGATGCAGTCATGGTCTTCCAGTCCATTACAGGATCACCTTATCTGATTGGTTGACACTCGTCTCAAACTGAAAAACTTCAGAACTTCAAACTGCAGAGTCTGACAGTTTGGACTAGGGGTGGGTATTGCCAAAGAAGTCACGATTCAATTCGAATCACGATTCA